CCATCCATTTATCCATCCAACCACCCAGCCATCCATCCATCTATACATCCAGCTGTTGGGTGAACCATCCAACAAGCGGTAGTTTTAAATAAGAAATGAATACGACGCCTTTGTTCGGGCGCGGCGACTTGGACTTAACTTCAAGTTGTAGTCGGAATGGGATTGGGATCGGGATCGGGATTGGGAGCAGACGGAGCTGAAGTTGCAGTTTGAATTTGAGTTTTAATATGGGGTGTACAGAGTAGTAGTATTTGCTTAGCTTATGCCTGCTCCCGCCCGTAAGCCCCGGGCATTTAACACTTTTTATTTACTACCGCAGCTAAAGCAATTGAAATGCTCGTAGCCAAAGCAATGGAAATGGCAGAACGACTTAAGCACAGCTACCCTTGCAGGAAATGCTGCACTGAGGGAATACACTAGATAGGAAATGAATAAGTATTAGATAATGTTCCCTGGCTGACAGTTTGGAGTTCAAAAGAGATTCAGATATTAGAATAAATTCATAGTCTTCTATGTAAATTACCTTATACTAAGAGTTCTGAAATACCCAATGATGTACACTAAAATTAAAACTCTTAGTGCCGATTTCTCAATGTCAGGTTATCTTTTGTCATTCGGTTAAAAACCTCTTTCTGAAAAATGTAGTTTTTCAATATAACATACACTGAATTGTGTGATAACAGACTCTGTTAAGATCTATCGTTTGTAAAAATAACGTTGCATTGAGAAATCATGTTGATTCTTCCGAACAATTTAGCCTGCAGTTAAATTTTGTCTGTCAAAGAACAAACTAGAAGTTAAAAGTGACGTTGAGAAATCTGACCTTAGGTGCATGAATGTTGTATGAACCCATAACTTTTTTTCCAGTGTAGATTTATGGAGGGGACTGGGATCTTCTTCGGCTTACAACAATAATGTTGCAGCTACGTTGATTGGGCTGCATCAGAGCGTCGCAAGCGGCATTAGGAAGTGCGGCCACGTCTGAAGTTGGATCTGGATGTGGATATAGCCATGGTTGTGGATCTGTATCGGAGGCCAAAGAAATTGTTATGGCCCAGTGCAAGTGAATGTCCGTCCTACTTCTATTTATCTATCAACCGTGTGTATGTGAGTGTGTTGTTTATGTTTTTTTTCTATGTATGTGCGTCTCCTTACCAAGTTGTTGTGGTGGCTAGAAAACAATGCGGAACTAAGGAGGAGCTAGCAAATAGCCGGACGTGATATGCAGCCAAGAAACAGCGTTGAGCCCAAGCTAATTGGCAAAACTTCATCGAGCCATCGAACTGTCAATTGTCAAAAGGCAGCAGGTCGAATCGGGCCGCAAGCAAAGTTAGGAACTTGGCAAAACATAATTCGCCAGCCCTTTGGCGGAACTGAACTTTGGGGGCGTTTGCGTTTGCGGCAACGCCGGTCTGGAGTTTATATAGAGAGAGGCTAGGCCAATAATTTAAGAAGTTCACGCTACACAAAGTTCAAGTGAAGTATGCCAGGCCTGCCTGCCTCGTCCTGAAAGATGGCAAACGGAAATTTACTGCAGGCACGAACAGCAAAGGGAGTGGGGGAATCGGAGTCCTAAAAGGGTTTTATGAAGGGGGGTTATACCCCCTTCCCAGAAACTGCAAAGGGGATTATTCCGCGGAGCGAAATATGCACATTTCCACACTTAATAACAAAATATGTTAAACAAAATCATTTGATGTTGGGCGTAATTTTTTCAGGGGTGTTTGTGTGTGTGTGTGTCTGTTGCCAGAAGGCCAACACAAACACTCTCACATGAACGCAAAACACATGTTTACATGCAAATTACATAAAGCAGCAACGGCAAACAAACGCAAATTATATGCTGCATACTTTTAGGCCTGCGACTCAGACTTCGTATATCGAGTTACCAAAGTAAATTGTATGGGGACTTTTCCCCTACATCCATTTCCGCAGAAAAACGGCGTCCAGACAATGTCGCGTCGCTTCCTGGGTCCTTTATAGGCGACCAAACCCCCCTCTGAATGTCCTGCAAGCCGCCACTTTGCATACATTTTAAGTATTTTCGTTTTACTTACCCTTGCAGAGGGTATAATTCTTCATCTTCCAAGGATATGTAATTGCAGTCATCAAGTTTCGGCTGTCTTAAGCCAGAAATAATACACCTAATTCATAAATAATGAAAACGTATTGATGACAAGGTTTCGTATCTAAGCAAATTATTAAAGATACTTGAAGAACATTGAATTAAATTCTAAGTTTAACTGCGAAATGTTTAAATTACTTCAGAATTTTGGTAATTAAATTTAAGCAAATGTAGAGAAGATATCAAATATTACATTAACTTAAAATTGCTTTTCAAGGGTACTTGCTCCTTCGTTCTGTAAACTTTTCATGTTATTATTTCGTTTTACCGCCCTTGGTTGAAAGTCGTTGGCAGGAAAAAAAAAGCCACAGCGGCGTAACATGTAAACAAACTCATTTAACTGATTTCAGAAAGGAAAACGTGGCTCCTGGGCATGGTGGTTGGTAATGGGCGGTGAGATTGCCAGGATGGGGAGATGGAGATGGAGATTGGGAGTGGTTCTGGATCTGGAACGACCGCATTATCATCATCATCTCGGCGCTGTTTTTTGCCCGCAACTCTTTTTCAGGCGAAGCAGCAGCTGCCGTGGCCGCAACCTGAGGCTAGATTACATGTCACTCGACTTAAGTTGGTCCTGTTTCCAGGACTGCGAGTTCCTTCTGGTTTTCCTGGTCCAGGAAACCTCGCCTCACATCCCCAGCAGTCGTGACCACGGTGACAAGTTAACTTGCTCCTGCTATCCGGGATCCCAGGATCCCGCAATCAGGATCCCCCTACTCCCCTTTTTCCAGCGCACATAATCTTTGCATAATTTCCAACTCAGCCTTTCTTGCTTTCGTTTTGTCCGGGCCTTTTTTACTTAACTTTTTACTCCAACGTGCACGGCTACAAAAACGCCAAGTGTCAGCAGAAACAGCAAACTAAACTAAATACAATTTCATCCCATTTTTTGTGTGCCGCTGGCCAGAAAAAGCTGGACACGGCTGTGACCATTTGTTTCTTCTGGAGGATCCGATTTACGGCTCACATAATTCCGTATGGAAATGTTTAAATTATGTAGATTTTATTGCCTGCTTTGGGGAGACGAAATTGGAGGGCTACAAATGAGATAGATATACGAACAAATCGGTTAGTCTCGCTTTTAATAATAACTGGCCAGCTATAAGAGGTCTCTCCCATTTGGTCATGCATTGCTTTGAAATTGGACCAACAAAAGCGCAAAACTTCGGGGAACGCTTTCATGTGTACGAAATCAAAAGGATAATTGAGACATGTGAACAATATCCCTAAGTGCGAGACCCCAAAGCACCAACAACAAGCTAAAACTCAGTGAAAGGTCGCACATCAAAGGTGGCCCCCAGACATTTTGCCAGCTTACCCCAGATGAAAAGCAATTAACAAAAGTAAAAGCAGAGAGCTCTGACTGGGGATGGCTGAGTAAGAAAAAAAGAAAAATACATAAAAGTCGGGAGAAAAGAAAAATATTAAATGCTTGAAAAGGGGGACTTTTGAGGGGGCACACACAGACGTGGCCACCTCAAAAAAGTGCCAGGCACTCACAAAACTGCTTAAGAGGAGTGTGCCAAAGGGGGTTTGAATGTGGGAAGAGTGCACTTAGAGAAAATCTTAAATACATTTAAGGAACATCATTTACCTTAGGTTCCTAACTCTTGTTTAGAGATATCACTTAAATTTGAGTTGGTATATTTTTAAAACATTTTTTATAGCCGAAAGTAAGGAAACCACTTCCTAAGTGTAAGAAAGCGTGGAAGTGGGCCCTCAAAATAATGTAAATATACCTACATTTTCTGTTTACAGATCTTAAATATTTAGAAATTATTATTATTATTAAATCCTAAGTAGGGAATTTTTCCTTAGTGTAGGAAAAGTGGAAAGTGGGAGCCTCCGCACACATGCACGACAAAGCAGAATAATAAATTTCAATTCAGACGACGACATGACGTCTCTGCCTCACGTCGACGTGCATGTTGATAAGAAATTGTACAACCCTTCCAGCTTCCAGCCCCTAACTCCCCACCTTATCAGCCCGCTGCTTGGGGCAGTCGCTTTAGCCCCGGCTAAGCCTCTCGGCCAGGTCGGAATAACCGGCGAAAAACGCTTAATGCGAATGGGAAAAGAGTCGCTCATAAAAAAAAAGAAGAAAACCTACTGTGGAGTGCAGAAGGGAAATGCGCAACGCAGCCCAAAGGTGTCAAGCGGAAAATAAAGCATAATAATGGCTGCAGCCCCGGGAACAAAGGCCTGAACATTTGGGAGGTTGTGGGCGGGGTTACGGAACTCAGACACACGTCAGTCATTTAGGAGGCGAAGAAGAGATGGTTAGCTGCGTAGGTGACGCATTATCCGTCTGACAATGACATCCTGAAAACTTTGCCATAAGTAGTACATATCGTGTGTAGGTCTATATTGTATGAGGAAGTAGAGAGGGGAAAAGCCCCAAAATGTGGTCATAATTCATGCAAAAGCCCCGGGCATCATCAAAGAAAATACCAAATGAGGCACAGCTACATCTTATATACTTAGCATAAGGCTTAAAAATAAGCCTCCTTTTACCAGAATATGCCCTTCGTTTTTTTGATAATTGTATAACAGTTATTTATATACTTTTATAGTAAAATTCTTAGATTTTATTTAAGACTTTAGTTTTTCAGAAAAGGAAATATAAATAGTTTTTGGATATTTAATAGTAAAGTTCAAAGTAATTTTTCGATTGAAAAATAAAAGTATATCAATTTTAGATTTATTTTTTGACTCGTAAGTAAAAGGTGATATATGGCGAAAGGGATAAGAGTTTTATAAGAAAAGATTTAATTTTTAGGATCACTAATACAAATATGCCCATCTAAGTCTATATGGTAAGAATATGGAAAACAATGCAAACTAACATGATGTTGTTCTGCTTATCTTTTTTCAGTTTTATGAAGAAGATGCGAAGGCCCGTCTCCTGACAGAGTCCAGACCCAGATCCCCAGTCCAGTTGCGAGTCCTTGGGAGGGGCTCCGATCTGATTTGCAGGATTGAGCAGGCCGAGCGATAACCATAACTGGAATAGCGGCCAAAGCAATTTGAATTTGTGCATGCAGCGCAGGGAGCGAGAAAGAGAGCGCTGCCGTGTACACACTCTATCTCTGTCTGTTTCCGGTCGCCTGCAACTGTGTGAGTGCGTGTCCGTGTTCGAGCTGTGTGTGTGCGTGTGTATTTCGTGTAAATAAATGCAATGCAAAAGGGGAAACAGAAATAGCAACATCAGAAGAAACAGGAATAACAAGCGAAATGTCAAAAAGTGCAGTTAAGCGTGGAAATTGCATTAAAAATTGAGCAAAAAATTGCGAAAAACAAAAAAGTGGCGAAAAGACAAAAAACGGAACAAACAAAGACGCAAAGCGAAACGCTGGAGTTAACGAGCGCTAAAAGGCAAAAAAAAAAGCTGAAAAAAGAAAATCAAGCAGACAGACAGAAACAGAAAAAAGAATAAAGTTTTGATTGAAATTTTCATTGTGCTTTCATCCTTTCTGGATTGTGTAAATTTCTGATTAAGTCACACGACACCCTCAACAAAACGCGTGGCGCGAAAAGTAAAATAATATACCCTCCCTTCCTAAAAAAGGATTTCACACAACTCCATTCGATCTATCGAAACTTGGCAGCAAATATCAAATATCGAAGAACTTTTTCCGTAATCGAGCAACAAAGCAATTGGCAGTTCGTGTTTCATTATTTTTGTCATGACAGTTCGGGCCTACGTTTTGCTATATTTTTTATTGTTTATGCACAGCAAGATCGCCGTCTGTGGTTGCCCTGGCCATAAACAACCCAACTGACTGATACACAAAATTGAGCCGTGAACACTGAAATTCGAGTGCGAGTACGAGTGAGTCGGGCAGGAAAAGTCAAAGTCAGCAGGCAGCAGGCAGCAGTTGGAACTGGTAGTCTCACAACCCACCTAACGTCCACACAAAACACCCCGAGAACTCGGGTCGTTGACAAAGTAACGCATTTAGTGATAAGAGCCAAACGACTTTGGCGAAATGAGCAGCCAGAACACCAGGAGCACCAGGATCCAAGGGGGCCCCAGGAGCAGGAGGAGCACAAGGACGAGCAGCAGCAGCAGCACGGAGATGGGCCAACTATTGCTCCTTATCGGCATGGGAGTCGCATCATGTTTGCCGGGTAAGTGTCAACAGCAGTCCCTGCCCCTGTCCTCTGTCTCCTGTTTCCTGTTAGCTTCCCGGACTTATCAGCCCCGGAATTAATGCAAATATTTAACGTGCTTTTTTATGGATTTGTCGTCGTCATGCGGCTCACTTCATTCATTCCCCATCCCCACCTCCGAACGACTTCAGCCTACATCCTTCGAGGTCCTGTCATAATAACGAGCTCTGTGGAGCTGGTGAGTCAGACCTGCTCCCCACTTGACATGACTTGTAAATGGCTTTCGATTAAGTTGTCACATTAGCATTAATCTCGAGCTCCGAGCAGCAGCCATCTTCGAGCTCATTGAAGTTCAATCAAGTTGTCTGGCACTCCCCATTCCTCTATTTTTTCCAACCCCCCTTGGGAGTAAAAAACGTGCTAATGAGCCGTGAGCTGATGAGTTCACTCTCTTTTTGAGTATTTTTCCCAAGGTTTTTCGAGGTGATCTAGGTCAGACGGGGTGATCTATATATAGGAATACTCCTCACTCGCGTGTAATTGAAATATAATTACTCGCCTGAAAGCCGCTTAAGTCGTTCAGCCTTTAAACTCATATATATTCATTATTTCATTAACAATTCAGGCATTTTACAGCATCGCTGGTGAATTTAAAATGAGTGCGAACGGCAATCGTTTTAATAAATATTGCTGCTTGTTATGAATATGCATTCGCCATTATTCCGAATGTTGTTTCCTCACAGGCGTAATCCGATAATCGTATGGGATCGGAAAGTGGGGCTTAAGGCAATTACCGAAACCAATTGGTTTTAAATTTAAGAGGCCAGTCCATCATTGTGATTCCCCTTCGATTTGTTTAGGCCTTCTAATCTAAATGACGAATGAATGAATTTAGTGCCAAGTTCACATGGGGATTACGTATACGAAGCGTTGGCACACACCCATAAAAACATTGGGGCTACGTAAATGATAGTTTTGTAGGTTTGTTTTTGGGTATTTATATTTTTTATTTATCCATCACAAATCAGCAGATGGGACCGGGGTTTGTCATTCGATTTCGGTCGCACGGTTCAAAGTCTCTTTCATTTCATTTGGCTTTGTTGCAGTTTGATTCGCAATATTTTCATTTTCATTTACAGCAGCAAATTCGAATTCGGGGCTCTATTTGTGTTTTGTCTTTGCTCTCTATTTGCTCTCCATTTGTATTGTTTTGCTAATTTGAACCATTTGAAATGTTTTTGGTTCCGAGGGGGGCCTTGTTTATGTTTACCCAGTGAGCATTTCTAATATTGCTGTTTGTGTTTGCCTTGGCTCCTCTAATTCGGCACCCAAAAATAGTTAATGCGAAATTAATTTCCGAATTGAATCGAGGCTATAAATAAAACATTCACTTCGATTGAAACGAGCTTTTCCTTTCATGTTCTCCGATTTTATGGAAGCGACAAAAATTGATCCCAATAAAAATTTACGTTTCATAAAATTTATTATGTATGCAATACAATAGGGGGTCCACAGGGGTCAAATCAAAGCGGGAATGACCGAAAAACAACAAGGAAATGAACGACTTTATATGCAGGATAATGGCCAGGACATCATGGTGGCAAGGATTTCTCACGTATGTGAGTGTGTGTGTGTGCATGTGGCACTCAAGCAGGCTAAAATGTATTACGACCCTGAAAGTGTATTTGTGTGTGCCAGTAGATCTGATCGGATTGGACAATCCTTGCCCCATTCTGCCACTTGAACTTCGGACAACTATTCGGTTTTATTCGAAATCATTGACCAAATTCTTAAGTAATCAAACTGAAAGTTTCCCTCTATCTCAACTGTGCCCGATAAGAGCTTTCCACTCGCCCAGATAAATACAAATCATGCAAACTGGCCAAAAAAGCAGCTGAGTAAAAAAGTTCAACATGACTTTTCAATTTTGGAATGTGTTTAATGGGCTCTGGGGTGTACGGCGTATCCGTATCGCCACTCTGCCATGTGTGTGTATGTGCAAACAGCTGACTGTTAATGGAAATTGGTGCCATATCACTCGTTCGCCATAAACTCGCAAAAGTTTAGATCGAAAAAAGTTAAGCTCCTAGCGGGGAACTTGGGGGAGGCAACTTTTAATGGCCCACTAAAATAATGAAAGTAAGGACCTAATCAAACCAGTTTCAGGTAGCTCAGGTTCAGGTGAATCGATTTTGTGCAAAAATAGTATATGAGCAAGGTTAGAACTCAGCAGAAATCCAATAGTACGAATAACAAAATAGGGATATTATTATTATGAATACCGTAAAAGCGCAACTTTCTAGGAAAGCGTAATATGTTATGTGTAATTAAGTTTGGTTTATGGTAGGGAAAGTCAGAAATCCCATACTTTAGGAAGAACCTACTTAAATAAATCGTTGTCACGTGTGTGTAACAATTAAAGAAAATCGCGACCTGCAGAATTACGTGAGGAAGAGAGCGGAAAATATGGGAAAAACTGTCGCCGGCGGTTGCCAAGGAACCGGGCACGTAATGAAAATATTGCGCGGATGTAAGTATACATATGTACATCCTGGTGAGGTGGGTGTGGTGTTACACACAGTACATATAGTATGTAAATCTGGGCCAAAACCAAAGGCGTTCGGATGCGACGCCTGATTGCAAACAGCTTCCCGTTGCGGCACGCGCCTAATTAAATTAGAGAACGCAACATTTCGGGCTCAATTGAGGATGCAGATGCGAGTGGGGAATAGCATTGGATGGTATCCTGGCATCGGGACAAGCAGGACAACAAGGACAACAAGGACAACAGCACACCGGCTGCTTAATCCGCAAACAAAGCAAGTGTAAAGAGGGCTCCCAGCGGGCATGGGGTGCGGCATGTGTCCTGTCATCGATTTCCCAGCTTTCTGCTCCTCAAGGACCAAAGCATATTTTCGCCTAGCAAAATTATGCACAAATTTTTCAACCGTAGCTGTGCTTCTGGGTGCGTGTGTGTGAGAGAGTATCTGTGTGTTGGCAAACAAAGTCGGGCAAATATGTGCATGCACATACACAGCCACAGGAGGTGCGGGTAGTGGAACCCCCTCCTCCCCCCTGGGTTGGTGGTGCTTTTCTAATGCAAAATAAGCCAAAAAACAAAGCAAAGGCCAAGGGAAGCAGCTATCCAGATGCCAGTCATGGTCTCATCTAACTCTTATCCCTTCTCCACTCTTAAATTTGGTATACTTCTCTGCTCAGATGGAATTCAAGTGGTGTTTTTAAAATATTTTTTAATTATATAACGTTTTATCGATAAGCAATGTGGCATACAGACACATGTTTAAATGTAAGAAATGATGAAAAAAGCGTTTTATATATTTTTTAAACATATTCCCCCTCTTTTTCTACAAATGAAATTATATTTATTTTATTTTACATTCGATAACATTTTCAGTTCTATAAAATCCTACATACATTTAAATAAGAATACTATAGAAAATGTTTCCGTGTCCCCATGCCAACTCCCAATTTTACTCTTCACAGATGGAAATGATGGCGTCTTTTTAAATCAAAATATACCTTTTTAAATTTTTGTAATAATACTTAAGCAGCTATATGATAGATAACTCAATGGTTAAGTGTAAAGGACATAAGTACATATATATTTTTAAATACCCCATTATATCAATTTTATTTTATTTACAATTATAATATCAGAAGATGCTAGAAATCCTTAATTAATACTGGAGTGTAAGGACTTTTTTCTCCGTGTACCCATTGCGTTTTCCAATTTTACTGTGCTCTGTTAAATTTCGCACAGATTAAGGATTATTCCAGCTGCAGTTGAAGTCAAGTTGAGTTGTTGTTATGTGTTTTTTCGGGTTTCATGGCCAAGGGGTAGCCATCGCGGGGGGGTACACTCAACCCCTTTGGCAAGGGAGCTGGGGGTCACGGTCGTGTTCCCTGCTCCCTGTGCCCCTGTTCCCCACTCCCCTCGACACCCTATGAACTGAAAGTCTTTTGGCTGCAAACAACATTCATTATGCATGCATTTTAAATTGTAAATTTCACTACCTTGCATTCAGAAAAACCCCTGGCCAACCGGCTGTGCTGCCAAAATGGATTTGGTGGCAGCCACAGCTCCTGTTCCGGCTTTTCGGCTCCTCGTTCCGGCTAAGATGCTGTCAGCTTTGGCCAGGGCTAAGACCCACTGATGCGCTTGATGAGCTTTTGGCCATATTGTTTGAATTTTTACCAACTCGCAGGCTTAGACCGCCTTGACGTAAGCCCTCTTGTTCCGCTTTTCATCCTTTTGTTGGCGTTTGGCTAGAATAATACTGCCAAATTGAATTGTGTCAGCAAGGGAATAAATCAAAAACTTTCTACCGGTTAATCGGTTTAAGTTCTTGTACACATTTTCCCATTAGAAGACCAACTTTATTTGTTAATGAGTTGATCATTTTCATGCACCGAACCGAGTGCTTGAGTTAATTTGATTAAATTAGTTGCTCCATCGGCATTCCGACAACAAATTGTGGCCATTTAAAGTGGCCCTAAAACTTCAAACTGCTTAGAAAGTATTATGTGGAGACGAGCAGCCAGCCAAATTGAATATCTCCTTTCAAAATTGCCATGACAACTGAGCGGTGGGGGATTGGAAAAGGAAATTCGAGAGCCAGGGCCACCGAAAAGTTTGTGGCGCCTCAAAACTTTTGTCTGTATGTGAGGCATTGGATTTTGGGGCATAGATCAAAAACGCAAAAGGGGTTTAGGTTAGGGGCTCAAACCGGAGCTCAAACTGGGGTCTGATGGCGATGATGGAGATGACGATAATGGGCATTCAGGCAAGTAGGCAAATCCAAAGGAAGGAAGGCAGGGATTGGAACCCAGAACTCCACACTCTGCACTCCGGACTCCAAACTACGGACTCCCGACAGGTTGCCATTGTTGGCAAGTGGCAACAAAGTCAGGCAAACAAAATCCGGCCAGAGGAGATATATCTCTGTCTATGGACTCCGGACTCGGGACTCCTTTCTCCTGCCTTTTACACACATGCC